ATTAACTGCAAGTGTAGAAATGTCCTCTGATCATATATTTGGCACTGGGGCAAGTGGCAAGGATCCTAAATGCATTCTACTTTACTCCTCACCCTTTTCCTCAGTGCTCCAACACACCCATTCAATGCCCACTCCTTCCCCAAATCGCACACTTTTTAAACAAAATATATACAATAGTAGTTTGGTTAAATTAAGCTGAAAGTCAGAATTGCTAAGTTATAAAAAACTACACTTCACTGTGTATACTACTGTAGGATAGTAAGTCACCATCTTCATTTTCATTCCATAGTTTCGTTTGTTATATGCAGACCTATCCATCCCTTCCAAACACACAGTATTGACAGGGGATATACCATGCAAAGGTTATATTATTTGTATCTGTAATAGCACTATATTCATCTGTATTAGAGCATTAAAAAGTGTAATTTCTTTCTTCACTATCTGTTCTTTCCATAAACTTCCCCTATTCCTTGCTGCCAGAAAAGTTACAGAACATTGAAGACTAAACACCATCACCAGGTATTTTATCTATTCCCCTCTCACCACACTTGAAGATTCATTCCCCACATACTCCTCACCTTTCTAGTCCATGACTGAGGGAAGCAGTGATAGCAAGTGCTGGCCACTGTCGCTATAATCTAAAAATGCTTTTTTACCCAAAGAAGTAAAGGAAAAGAATGGCTGCACAGTCTCAACTGACTGGGATAAACATGTCCTCTTGTGCATGTGCATGCTCCATTGCAAGAAATCTTTCAAGCAAACATTCAGGGTGCTTATAGACATGCTCTGAGAGTGTGTGTGTATGAGTGTGTGTGTGTGTGTGTGGAGGGCGGAGGAGGATCTGAGAGCTGCTCTAATTAAAGCACCTGGAGCGTCACGTGTATCAGCATCCCCATACTAAAAAATGGCAGCAGGGGCACTTTAACTAAAGTTCATCACGAGCTTTAGTTAAAGCCCCCCTGCCTCCATTTTTCTGTGTGGGGATGCTGAGACACGTGACACTGGAGTCTGTTGGAGTGCAGTAATTACCATGCTCCAGCAGACTCAATTAGTCTTGATTAATCGAGTCTGCTCTGACACTGTAGTTACAGCATGTCAGAGCAGCCTCCCTGCACATGTATAGGCACCCTCAGAGTCTCAAGAGAACACTAAAAGGATCTGATGACACAACATGACGTACATCCAAAGTATGCCACACTACATATTAATATCAGCTTCATTTTAAATACACAGTATGTATCTGTTTTTGGTAAGGTGATACAGGGTAAAATCTTCCAATCTCTGCTCAAGGTAAAGATAAAACTAAGGGCTTAGAGGGGAAAAAATATTGGACATCTCATATGGCAAAACTTTTCAGGAAATATTAAAAAAAAACACCTTTTTAAAGAGCAGGAAGCTGCACAATGTAAATCCAGAAATATTTTTTGCTCTAAAAAGATACAAGGACAGGGAAATTCAGCAGAGAAAGGTCTTGATTAAAAAGATTTTTTAGGAGATACCAGCAGAACTTCTGAGAGTTAGGATGAAAGTGACTTCACCGAAAGGTCCTGCATACCCACCCAGAAAGTGGGGGAGCACCCACAGCCACAACCCAACCACTGCTCCTTGTAGCAGCTTAGGGCAAGACATACTATATGCACCTAAGTTCAGTGACAAGCCACCAAAATCGTCTCAAGGTTTAGAATGGAATAGTAGGGATATTTTTTCCAAATTCTGAGGGTTTCCTAGCAGCTTGCAAAGAAGATAAGGCCATCAGCTACAAGCTAAGCAGAGAAGCAGCAATCACTCTGTGTTTCTCTAAAGCTGCCTGACTGCACGTAAGGAGGACAAGACAGCAGATGGAGGCTTCTCAAGCTTTGTTCTTCAACCTAGGAATGGTTCAGCAAGGATGTGAGGTGAAATAAGGCTCAAAGACCATCCCATATATAAACTGCTTATAAAACTTAACATAGTCCTAAATTAGACTTATGCTGCTCACCCTCAATTAAGTGGCTCTTACACACATCCAGAGAAGCTGCTTCAAACACGTAATTACAGCACGCCAGAGCAGACTTGACTAATTGAGTCTGCTGGAGCGTGGTAATTACTGTGCTCCAGTGTCACGTGTATCAATGTCCCCATGCTGAAAAATGGCAGTGCGGTGCTTTGAACTAAAGCTCATTCAACGAGCTTTAGTTCAAAGCGCCCCACCGCCATTTTTCAGCATGGGGACACTGATACAAATGATGCTTCGGGCGCTTTTAATTAGCACGGCTCTCAGAGCTGCACTAATTAAAGTGCCTTCCCTCCCCCTTAATGCCCAAGTGCAAAGCAAACTCAAGAGAAGAGACTTAGATGCCACGGTTTCTTTTAACAATCTTTGTAGCATCCTACAATTTGGACATCTGTATATTAGGGTGACCACTAGCACACACCAGAGCAACTAAACATGGCTCTAAACTGTATCAGTGGCTGGCAGCTGGGGACTGTCAGGGCATTGCTAGGCCTCAAATTCTAGAAGGGTATAGGAGCCATTAAGAGGGCTGTATAATTTTGTAAGATTCCTCTTTGAAGAGAGAAGATCCTCCTGATGCCAATTACAACAGCTGTATGGATGATATGATATGCCCGGAGCAGGGATTCTTAACTAGGTGCCTTGAGATCTTTTCAAGGTTGCTGTGGGGTACCACGCAATGTAGTAGTGTTCAATGTACAAACATGATTCAAGGATAAACCCAGAGTTTTCACACAGGAAGCCACAGCATTAAAAATATTCTGACCTGTTGCAATCCAAGTTCTTTGCAAAGAAAGAACTGCAAAGGGCTAGCAATTTCTGAGGGATGCCTTGAGTCTAAAAAGGTTGAGAAACACTGACAAAGACACTGAAGCATTAAACAGCCTCACCACTGCTAAAGAATCTCTGTTGTCCCATTCAACAAACACATACATTTAAGTATTTTAATTCAATAACCTGTGTTTCAGAAGAGATTGCATACCCTATATCTGATCACAGAGAGACTAAAGAAAATATCAGGTGAGCCTAAAAGTAAGTTTCCACTTGCCTCTCAGTGGAAACAAGTTAAAAATAATCACTAAGTCTGACTGAGAAGGCTTTCTGAAGTAAAGACAAGGTTGCTGCTTTCATTTGTCTGTTCAACTTGCATAAAAAAGGAGAAGGCTAACGTGTTCGGTTATCTACATTTCTTTAAGCAAGTAAATTAAAAACAAAACATGTATAAATAAAGCTATGCTTTAGATGAGTAAATTGGTCTGAGAAGAACACTGTGAACCATCTAATTACACAAAAATGTGTTACTTTCTTTTTCTGGTTTTCCTCTCAAGAAAATTAAACACCCACACTCAGAAGCATAAGCTCCAATGAGTAATGCAGTAAGAAAGGTTTTCAAGTTGAATTTTTCCCCCACAAAGTCCTTTAAATTAAATTTCTGAAAGAGCATATTTGAAAATATGCATGCTATGATTTTTGTTGTTTTTGTAATTTGGGAAATTAGGAATTCCATGAAGATTCCTCTTTTCACTTGCTTTAAAGAGTCCAGAAAATGCCATCAAAAATACCTTACCTGTTCTATCTCTTTCTCACTGTGCATCCACCTACTTGCTGCCTTCTCAGCTTTAAAGATGCTGTTGTTACTGATATACAACACGAATAAAGAGTTTTCACATATAGCTCTAAGGAGGGTTCACAATGAGCATGATGCAACAGGCTACCCAGGAAAAAATAATCAAAATGCATACAAAATGCATCAAGAACAGAACGGAGAAGTGGGAAGAGGGGAAGAGAGAAACATTTCCCCCCACCTGCTTAATTTTTTGATTTCAGTAATCATGAGGGTTATTTGTAAAACAGCAGGTATCACTTTCAAATCATTTTAAAATGGAAGAGCGATCCTTAGATTAAGTGCTTTTTTTCCTCGAGAAATGTAGAAAAAGTACTCCACAACAGAAATTGCATAACCAGGCATACATTTATGGTATGGTAAGTGTCAAGATGTTTGAACACACATGCTATTAAAGGGGGACTAATATCTTAACTTGCAACCGTCTTGTATTAAAACGTCGCTCTATCTTCCTTTAAGTGAGCATGGAAGAGTGAAGACTTACAGAAATCAAAAACATTCCTTTATCTCCTCCCCCCAGAACTCTCATTAAGACTAATTGCTAGAGCACAGAAACAGTCAAAATGCTACAGATTTTACCCAACACGTTTTCTTTCCTTCTGAAGCTTACCAAAAAAAATCTCTCTGCACCATAAGCACCATCACTTTGTAAGCCACAAGATGCACGTGTTTCTGCCCTCCCTCTGGTATTCCATCTAGCCCAGGTGGGAAGCAGTTCCAGTGAGACGGGTCCTAGCCTATTGCCTCCTAAGCAGCAGTGGGTGCTAGCCAGTGTTCGTTGCTTTCTGTCCCCGCTTTGGTGCCGGAGGTTCGCACTCTCTTTTCTGTTTTTCCATCCTTGGTCCCAATAATTTATCTGTTATACAGTTAGTAGCCTCCCTCTAATCACTGAGGGAGGCCTGTAGTTTCCTGGGAGGTCTGGGCCCAGCATGCCTGCATTACAAATGGGCCTGAGTTAGCTAGGGGTAGCAACTCAGCCAGGAGCCGGGCGGTGGCTAGGCTTGCCTGTCCCTATCCTTCTCAAAAAGAAAGAAGTGCACTTTCACAGCCTCTGTCTACTATCTACTGCCCCAGAGAACCAATGTACCAAGACCTTTTCACCCACTTATATTTTCTAACATACATGCACTCAAAATCAAAATCAACACCCCCACCTCGCACACAGCCATTTTGAAAGCAGTTTATGCACACTGAATTTCTGTTATTACAGATTTGAACTGGTTCCAATCACTTATACTGGTTTATGTGTAATTTCTGTCCCTAGCCTTAGTGCCATACTTCATGGACACTCTATGTTCCCAGGAGGACTTGGTCTATTTCACAGACATCCACAACTCCGGGGAAAAAAATCTACATTCTGCCTTCCAAAAATAAGGTGCATGTCTTATTGTGGAACACACTGTATGCAAGAAAAATGGTAGTTCATGCATTCAGCTGTTATTTCATGCCTACCTACATTTTAAGAGAAAAGATGGTGATGCAGTGTTGGGTGTGAAAAAGGAAGTTAAGACCATGCAGAGATTACACAGCTACATCAGGAAATATGCCATTTTCCCAACGCAAAAAAGTGAGCATACAGGCATTCAAGCAGTCTGTGGTGAAAAAACTTAGAGACAGCTGCAGGAGAAGTTACTGTAAGCAATATTTGCCTAAGCTTCTCAACCAGCCCTCATAAGTACATAACTTGAGTTAGAATGCCATCTAGTACTATGCACTGACTAGCCTCAATTAGCCATCACTGCAGAAAACAGGGAAGTGTATTTTGTTCTGTACACAAGCAGAACTAAAATTTTTCAGTATGCTTAAGTGTATCTGTGCACCTATTTCTTTTCCTATACTGCATCTAACAAATAAAAATTATTGGATAATGGGAGTTATACACAAGCAGGAAGAACCAAAATACTATGCACATCTAAAATCAGAATGTGGTCCTATTTTTTGTATATACGGGGGGAAAACAATAAAAGATGTTATATCCTGATGAACTATGAGAGAGAGAGACATGTTTACAGTGGAACAAATATTTCCACAGGTATCTGAGGCTATTACAGAAAGTGCACTGTGTGTATTGTAAACCCATGTCAGGAAGACACCAACATTCTCCAATTCCTTAATTTGCTTTTTGAAAATTTACCTTGCTTATTGGAAAAAGTTACCCAATAACTAATCGTTTAAGTTTTACAGCAACTTTTTCTTCCTGTACCCCAAAAATGTAAGATGATAAGCAGTGATGGTCACTGAAGCATCTAAGAAAGATTTACTCCCAATATTTCCATACAAATCAAGTAATCCTACCTCACCTATATTTGACTGATCCCTGCTTTAAAGAGAACAGGATCCATAAAGCAGCACTACAGAAAAATACCAATATGAAACATTAACACTGAAAGGCATATTAAGATTGAGGTTTCAAAACTGAAGTAAATCTTTACCACAATTTACAGATTATCACATATTTGCTTTCTGTAAAGTGTCTTGCTATCTCTAGTCTAAAAGACCTCATGTTAATCATCAGTAGAGGAAGATATTAGACTAGGTATACCAGAATTTTCAGCCTTTATAGCACAATGGATGTATATAACAAGTACTAAATAGGCATGCATCTCACATAAGTGCAGTCTTCCATTTTAAGATGGCAACCTAAATACAAACAAGCTGGAAACCATTCTTTCACCTCAATCATTACCACACTACAGTAATTTTTAAATTCCATGAAAAAAAATTTATTGGAGTATAGAAAAATATGATTAAGGAAAATAAGTGACATTAACAGTTCTGCTGCACAGATCTTACTCCACATATCCCAAGTTGTATTTGTAAAAAAATGAAAAATGAACAGACTCCAGGTCTTATGTGTTGTCAGCATTAGAGTACTAGTCTATAGTAATCTTAACTTTTCAGATATGGCTAGGGATCTAGAATACTAGACTGATATCCGAGTGAAGAGCCTTAATCCACAAAGTATTAGTGGAGCTACATCTTGCTTCATCGATGTCAAAAGGATTTATTTCACAGTCTTAAACTAGAGGGGACTAAATCTATAAGGCCTAATCTTTCAGTTAGATAGACATTTTTACTGGCTTGTCAGGTACTGACTTGGATATACCACTGTTTGAAAAATTCAGATATTTAATTTTGTTTGAGATTTTCTGTGCTTTTCTTGGGGTTTCCAGCCAGATTTACACCTTCAAGTAGTTGTTCCAGCACTCTTGTTTCTACACTAGTAACAGTACTTGCATGAGCAAGTTTGAACTTGTAAATTAATAGTTAAAAATGTTCCAACTCTTAAACAAAGTGTCAGTGCAAATTTGCCTGGGCCCTAAAAATCAACTCTGCCCAGCACTTAATTACAGAAACATTTTAATCAGATATAACAACAGTGTCAAATCTTATATCCACAGAACCAGTTTCAATTGAAATCAGGATGTGGCCTACGGGGAAGAAAAATACTACAGCCAAACTATACTGTGTACACATTGAGATTACAGGAAAACCTCATTAATTCGGAACACAGGGGACCAAAAAATACCGACTTCATAATAAACTGGTTCACATTATCCAAACTACAGTACTACACTGTATGTATTACATGAAGCCACTGTACAGTACCTGTATAATCTCTCTCAGTTTCTTAAAGAAAGAACTGACTGTGGTCTGCTTAACCATCTTTTTATATTGATCATGGACAATTCAGCTCATTTTTTTCATGACTTCCTTTATTCCCTCATCCATGGCAGCAGCATTGTCTTTCAGCACAGATTTGAGAACTGTGAGCACCGCATGTACCTCCTTCTGTGACACGCATTTGCTAGGACGCATCGCTCTTTATTTTCTTCCACCTCTTCCTCTGTGGGGGCATCCTGACTTGCTCTCTTACTACTTCCTTCATCGTTGACACTTTATCATCAACACTGACAGACTCTTGGAAAGCAGTGGAGCAACCCATTTTTCCTTGAAGCTCAGCCTAGTCAGGATCATCTTGCTCAAATTCAATTTCTTCAGCAGCCTTAGTGCCAAAGCCACCTTTCTCAAAGCAGTTTATCCCATGCAATGACAACATTTCTCATAGCATCGAGAATGTTCCATTTATGCATATCTGTTGAATTCTTGGAAACCTCTCAGCAGATAATGCACCAGTTGTTTCCAGTATGCCATCACAGCATGGTGTATTATTTCCTGATCTAGGGACTACATGTAGCTTGTGGTGCTTGTTGGGAGAAAGAGCGCGCACACATGCTTCAAGTCTAATCCTTCGTAATTACAGGCCACACAGTTCTCAATTAGTAGAAGCATATTTCGATTTTGGCATGCCATTTTCTGTTCAAGTTGGAGTAGCCACTCAAAACAATAGTTATCCGTGTATTTTTGTTGGCCAGTACAGGCATGGCAAGCATTTCATCCCTTTCATACGCCAGGGATTGTCAAACTTTACAGTCGCTAGCGGCTATAGTTTCTCACAACCATTGGCATTGCAACAGAATAGTACAGTGAGCCCTTCTTTGCTTTTCTTCCCACTGTGACACATTTCTCCTTTAAGTGTCAGTGACCTATCAGGCTGCAGGTTATAAAAAAGTCCCGTCTCATCAGCAATGAATGTGTCCTTCAGCATGCATTTGTCCAGAATTGGCTTCACGCTTGCAGCCACAATATCAATATAAGATGCTTCACCATGTACACAAAGCAAAACGATATTCTGACAATGTTGGAAGCCACGCATTAGAACACTGAAACTCTATTCCTAGCTTCAACACAATTTCATCTGCTTTTTCTAACTAGCAGCCCAGATACTGGGATACTGTTCACCCTTGTATCACAAAACCACTGAAACAGTTCAGTTTCTGAATATAAACAACTTTACACTTCAGATTCCTTTCTTCATCCTGGTTTTGTATCCTTCTGTTGCCATCTTCTCTACTGAATCCTGAATCTTCAAACAAGTTGAAACCCAACATGCTTTTAAAGCAATTTCCATTATGGATTTCACTTTCTTATCTGCTTTATGTATCATTTTCAGCTTCTCTAAAAGTGTTAACTTCTTCTTGGTTGCCATGAAGCTCACCCCTGCTGGACCTGCATATGACTGAAAGCCAGAGGTGTATATAATTCTGGCAACATAAAATTACCAACACGTTATTGAACAGTGGTCAGGACTGTTGCTATGCAGAATAATTCTGCAATATTATCTATACAGTAGTACTGTACTTTGAAGTAAACAAACACATTTTCATGGGTTTATGGTCCAAAGGACCAGAAAATGGCTTCAAATTTCAAAGTAGCCACATTTCAAATTATCCATATTATAAGGAATACAAATCCTGTCCTGTTGGCTGGGGAATTACAGTAACTTTGAGATATCCAATACTTTGAACAATCCAATGTCAAATTAACAAGGTTTTCCTGTACTTCTGTGGCTTCCCCAATATGAAAACTGCTCAGACCATAGACACTGTGCTGGCTCTCTCTCAGAAGCATGGAGCTATGGGATTTCTTCACACTTAAAGTGAGTCCGGTATCTCAGCACCTTCAACAGCAGTCTCCCTAACACCTTACCCAGACACCAGACTAATGCCAATGTAAGGATAAAAATCACCCTCCCACACAGAGTATACCTACTCAATCCCCAATAGTATTAAGTGCAACAATTACTTTTAAGTAAAATGAGACAAGGTAAACATCTGATACAGACACAGGCTGCTATCTGTAACATCAGCCAGTCATATGAGCCCTCTTTCCTTAACCCTATATAATAGTGTAGCCTTTCAGCCAACATTTAACCACAGCTGTGTTTAAAATACATTTCAAGATTTTTTTTTTCTCCCCAGTCAAAATTGGCAGATGAGGGGAGATTGTGCCAGCAGGGATGTACATGGGCATGGGCACCAAGGTGGGAGTTTAGGTAATGTTTCAATGGCTGTCCTTGGAAATAATTCAAATATTTATTGTTCACTACTTCATTTTCAGTTGCTGCTCATGTATCTGGGTATTTATAGAACTTATCTCCATGGTCCCTAATCACCTTCATAGCTTGTGCTATACAAAAAATTTTAAAAAACAACCAAACACCCCACTTTCTTTGCTACTCAACATCCCTCTGAAACCTGTTTCTACAAACAATTCTTTCCCCAAAAAATCAGAAATACAATTTCACTCTAAATGGATTAACTGATTCGGGGTCTTACTTCTTGACTGAATCACATACTGAGCATGAATTATTTAATATACAAAGGAGGGCAGAAATAAAAAGGAAATACTAACCTATAAACTTGCTTCTAATTCTAAAATAAAATCAAACCCTCCAGTCACTAGTTCAGATTTTAGATATTCATCTTATGATGGTTAGTGCAGGGGGGGAAAAAAGGACATTTCAGTCTGTTTTAATGATGTTAATTATTAAATGTTCCTTCACCCTGAAGAAACACAGAAAGCCATTCTGCGCAATGCAGTGCCTAATGTGGTTGCTTGTGTTACCTAATAGTAGCAGCAAATCCCTAACACAGCAAATTATAATAGCATTCGGCACACATCCAAGCTACCCAGGTGAAATATGACACTTAGCAAAGGATATAGGCAGATAAGGTAGGGATTTTAGAAGCTGAATACAGATCTTTACATCACTGCTGAGGAGGCAGAAGTGGTAATTGGGTCCCAATGCACTTCTGTTTTAGGGCAGAAGCAAGGAAGATGCAAAATAGTTATGATGGTAAGTCAAAGCAGCATGCTTCACAATTTCTGAAAATGCTACTGAATTCTGAGTTAAGGTTACTTTAGTGACAACTGGAATGGTGAGATATTGGGCATGTGTTAAAACAACCTAAATCTTGACTGATGATAATTGTGAATGTTGAACATAATGTATCATTTTTAAGAAAAAGTTATTTTTTACCACACCATTTTAAAATGTTTTCCTCACTTCTTAATAGGTTGGCTTTCCTTTTACAAGGTAACATTTAAATTTAATAATGCTAAAAAGCCCACACCACATCATGGTGTTTTCAGTTCTATACACCCTCAGGAAAAAAAACAAACAAACACATCTAGGCACATTTACAGGATTGGAAAACTGAGACCAACCAGTTACGTTATCAGGTCAAAATTATAAACCATCAGATTACAGAACCAGGAACAAGACATGGCTCCCAACAAAGAGTCTCATTCCTAATACACTGGATGATGCTGTACTCCAAAAAATACTTTTCTATTCTCTCATTCATCCCTCCCCACCCTCAATCTGCACAATTTGGGTAACGATATCATACTACAGCAATTTCTGATAGGCAAGTAACTAAAGGTATACAAACATCTACGTAAAGTGCACATTGTTCCCAGAGCTGCAGAAGAACATCTCTGAAGAGCTTTCACACCAAATATACCAAACTACAATGCCTGAAAAAGTCTACATGCATTTAACTTCACAGAAGCGGACTCCATTTCTCAAAACTTCAGAAGTGCACACTTGAGTCAACCAGGGGGTGTTTAATTTGTCATGCTTTCTGACTCCTTGAAGTGTTTAGCCTCTCAAATTTCAATGGGAAAAATACTGGAAATGTGAAGATGATAGTAAAACCAGCAATTTTTATAACTTTGCTCAGCACTAATTTTTTTTTCTATTTTACTGGTATAAGGTATGCTGATTTTAAAAACAGACTAGTTTTTTCAAGAGATAAGAAAAATGTCCTAGGTCTTTAACATTTAAAAAATAGTAATACAAAATGTGAGGGCTTGATCCTCCTCATTTTCACCATTCAAGCCATTCAATATAGAAGCAACCATTCAAGCCAATCAATATAAAAGTAGGTACAGACAGTCAAAATGCCTAAGGCTGCATTGACTCAGTCTTGCAGGTTAGTCTAAATTGCACAGATTAAATTGAAACAGAAGTGAAGAGACATTTAATTTACCTTCAATTCAGGAAATGCAGCTACATGCCTGCAGTAGTTCAGGCCAGAGGCTGGGGGGCACTAGAGCACAGCTCTCTGGCTGTGTGAGATTCCTCATCCTGCTGCCCCTGAGGTCTCTGGGATTTGCAGTCCAGAATTACAGTAGCAGGGCTCTGCAGGGTTGCTCATTACTTCCTCTTCCTGCTTCCAGGTGCTTCTGGGATTTGTAGTCCACAGTTGTAGCCAGCAGCAAGTTTGAGCAGGGGAAGGAATGTTTAACCCCCCCTCCCAGGCCCCAGACCCTAGCTGGGGTTTGCCTGGGGGGGGGGGGGCAGGGCCCCCCTAGACTGAGCTGGGCCAGCCCTGCTTTCTGGCGCCCCCCCCGCGTGGGGGGGGGGGTGGTGGGGGGGGGGGGGGCAGTGCCCCCCCCCACCCGTAGACTGGGCTGCATCCCTAGTCAGGCTTGCCCTCCCACCCAACCCCCTTGTCAGCCAGGCCTCTCTGCTCCAGCGAGGGAGCAGAGGGGTGTGGCCCTGCTCTCCGGAGCAGAAAGCACAGGCTAGTCTAGGGCTGCAAAGCATGCTGGGATGCCAGGGGACTCTGATTTAAGTTGAACCAGGAAGTAGTCTGGGACAAACATTTCACAAACCAGTTTGACCCAAATGAGATCTGATTTTGAGGAGGACTTCCCTATGCAGCCAGAGTACTTGATTTTATTTAGGGCCTGAGGGCTGTCTTCTCTGTTACGGTTCATACTGGAGGACTGGGATTGGAACTGACAGGGGTGCATGAGGACTGCAGGCCCTGCCAGGGGCTGGACTCAAAATTCAGAGCACAGCTGAGGAAGGCTGCAGCCCAAGGGTGAGGGCACAGCCAGAAACCTTGAGGGGTGCAGCCGAAGCCCAAGAGAGAAGCCCTAGGGCCAAGACTAGAACGCTCGAGAGGTAAAGAGGGAGCTTGGGAAGGACAAGACTAGAATTTTGAGGGGAGAGCCAGCTGCACCTTAAAGGGGAAGTGGGTCCCAGAGCAGCCAGACCCAAGCCCCAGGGGGCAAGATCAGAAGCTAAACTAGATGAGGTATTGGACTGGGGTCAAGGGCTCCTTCCCCAGGACGGTGAACTGTTAATACCTCCAAGGCATGGACATGGCTAGGTGGAGGCCACAGGTGGCTGTAAGTCACTAAGTTACCAGTGTTGCTGAGAGGACAAGAAGGATGCCAAACCATTGATCCCCTGGAATACAAGCAGACTCACAACTTTTCTCTTAAAGCAACATCAAATGTGTGGCAGGTGAGAACATGGGAGAGATGGGAGGTGGAGACAGAGGTCACCAGGGAGAGATCCCGCCAACCCTGGACCCGAGTCCCATTATAGTATTGCTACAAGACTAAAGAGACATTCAATGTTCACTGCTATATTATACATTATTAACAACTAAGAATTCATCCCACGACTGGGCGGTAAACATTAGGGGCTACAGACTATGCAGGCAGGATAGAACAGGGAGGAAAGGCGGGGGTGTGGCGCTCTACGTCAAACAGCAATACATGTCCCCAACTAACAGGATGGGGTCAGAGGAGGGGCAGGCTGAAGTACTCTGGGTCAGAATAGAGAGGGGTCGTGGGGAAAGGAACTTAAATGGTGGGGGTCTATTACAGACCACCCAACCAAGGGGAAGAGCTGGACCATGAATTCTCGGGCCAGCTTGCGGAGGCACTTAAGGCAAGGGATGTAGTTGTCATGGGTGATCTAAATTACCTGGACATCTGCTGGGAGAAGCAGTCAGCCAGGTCAGACCACTCACAAAAGTTCCTTGCTGAGATAAAGGATGTGACACCTGAAAGGTGTGCCTGTGTGATAAAGGTGCTTGCTGAAGGCTCTATGAAGATTATACCAAGTGTTTTTTTTGTATTTGTTTAGATATTAACCTATATGTTGTTGCTAAAAGCCTAATTCAAGTTTAAGATGTAGTGAGGCCTGGTATAAAGTAAGGCCTAGAAAGTTTAGCAAAGCCTAGAAGTAGTAAGGCCCTGTGGCACAGTTAAAATTACCTTATCAAAGGAATGCAAGGCTTGTACTGCTAATTGGTCAGTCTAAGGACAGTTGAAGTAAAAGGAATCTGAGTGGTCATATGTTATCAGTATCATTCAGAAGCTATAAATTAGCTATAATATCTGGAAGCCATTCAGAAGGAAGATACAGCTCTGTAAAAAGGATTAGTTAGCTCTTGCCTGGATCAGTGGGCCCGTGGACCTCAAGGAGCCCAAAGACTGCATTCCAGGGTCCTTCCCGGTACCCTTTGGACAGCTCTGTTCAGGGACATCTGACTTCACTGAACTTTGTGGAAAGAGAAGCTTGCTGCGTATCAGGGATCAGAGGGAACTGCCGAAAAGTTGCCGACATGAATTGCTCTCATCTGTCATTGTTTGTTTTGTTACTATGCGTAGCTGTGTTTTTAAGTCAATAAATCTTTCTTACCCTTCTACCCCCGACCACACTCTCAATCCCAAACCCTCTGCACCAGGCGGCTGGGACACAGGACCTCCACTTAACCTAGGAGGTGCACAGTCCCACCAGGGGGAATGCCCTCCTGGACCTGGTTCTGGCCACAGACAATGACCTGGTGAGGGGACTCCAGGTTCTTGACCACCTGGGTGACAGTGATCATCGCCTACTGGAATTCACCATACAGCTCAGGGTGTCAAGGGTCTGCAGTAAGGCAGTAGCCCTTGATTTCAAGAGGGTCAATTTCAACAAGCTGAGGAGATTGGTAGGAGAGGCACTGGGGTCCTGGAGAGTTGGGGAACTGGGTGTCCAAGATGAGTGGTCGTTCCTTATGGAGACGATCCTCCGTGCCCAAGGGGTGACAATCCCAATGAGAATCAAAGGGGGCATGAGTGCTCAAAAGACCCCCTGGCTCACCAAAGGCATTCAGGAAT